CACACACACACACACACACACACACACACACACACACACACACACACACCCCCTCTCTGTGAAACCACACAATACATACTTCCATATAGAGTTAGATAGCATCTTTCAGCTGAACTTAGAATTTTTATGAATAGAAATCTTCATTCTTTTGATGCTGGTTTGCCCTGTGACCTTAGAGAATACTGTTACAGTTTAATATTTCAAATCATTAAGTCCTTTAAAATTTTTTTCTTTCTCTATTTATATAAAATATACTTGACACAGCTTTTAAACTAAAAAACAAAGAAACCAAAAAAACCAGTACCAGGAGAATCCTATCTAGTTTTACAGATAGATAAAATTGCCTTACTGGTTTTGAAGAGTTTCTGAAATGTATTATGATGAGAAAGATTAGGCAAATTAATTATGTCTAGTATCTATAAAGTTGCTATTCTGTCATAGTAGCTGCTAATGATGAACAGGGATTAATATTCTTTGACAAATCTTGTTCAAGGTTTGATTTTATAACTCACAAAACAGTTATTATAAAACAACAACTAGTGCTATAAGAGCAAGACATAGAATCTCTCTTGAGAGAGATTCTCACTTTCTTCATCTGGAAAATGGGAATAATATGTGTGCTACCCACATCATTGGATGTTGTGCAGAATGCACTCTGTAAACTGAAGAAATGTTTAAATGTGAGGATGATATTTTGTTCTCAGTAATAATCACTTATCATTATTACTCATTTGTGTTGTAGAACACTTGATTTTTAGGAGGTCAGGAAACCTGGGTTTTCTAGCTCTACCTCTGTCACTTAACTAAGCAAGTCCCTTTTCTGGAACTCAGTTTCCTCTTCTGTAAAATGACCAAATGATTGAGTTTCCTTTTCAACTCTTTCAGTGACCAATTACATTTTGTGTGTATGTGTGTGTATATGTTTGTAATAGCTGTAGACTCTGAACTGTGAGATTTATGTAAAATTAGTTTTTGTCATGTTCAAACACTGCAATAAATGAAGCCAGAGATTTATTTTTCATTGTTGTTGACAAGTACCAGCTTAATTAAAATAATTTTTAAAAATATTTATTTGTTTGTTACATTTTGAGTTCTGAGCTGTTTCCCTCTCTCTCCCCCATCCATTCTGCACTAGAGAAGGCTAGTGTTTGAGGTGGATAGAATCTTCCTTCATAGGTCCTTTGTAGTTGATTTGAATATTCATATGACTCAGAATAGTTTAGTTATTCACAGTTAACTTTTTGAACAATATTGCTGTTACTGTATATGATCTCTTGGTTTGACTCTTCATTATTTCATACAAGTCTTCCCATGTTTTTTTTTAAAATCAACCTACTCATCATTTCTTATAGCACTGTAATATTCTGTCACGATCATGTATCGCAACTTATTCAACCATTCCCCGATTGATGGCCATCCCCTCAATTTCAGTTCTTTGGCACCACAAAGAGAGCTGCTATAAATATTTTAGAACATAAAGTCTTCTTCATCAGAGAGTGAGTTTCCTGTCACTGGAAGTGCTTAAAAAGAGGTCAGACAACCACTTGTCAGGAATATCATATAGGAGAAGATAACCCTTGTAGTAAGCATCAAAAAACTGAACATATATAAAAGCATTAAGAAAACCATAAAATATCACACAACTCCAGGGTGGTAGTGTTGTTTCTGTTATCATTCTCTGAGTCATGCAAGTTAGGAGCTCTAGGGTGGACTGACTTCTTTTACTCCCATGTCTCCATATTCAAGCAGTCATTGTCCTATCAAGTTTTCCTTCTTAATGCCTTTCTTACCATGTGATACAAATATAAGCAAGACAGGCCCTGCCCTCAAGTGGCTTACATTCTAAGCACAGAAGAAAACATGCCAAAGGAAACTTGAAAAGGTGGGGAGTGGTAAAGGAAAATGGCTGGGAAGTGGTTTGAAGGCTTAGTTCCTGGATCACCTTGGGAAATAGACCTAATGGTGGTATTGCTGAGTGAAGGGTATATACAGTTTTATAACTCTTTGGGCATAATTCCAGATTGCTCTCCAGAATGGTTGGATCAGTTCACAGTTCTATCCACAGCATGTTAGTGTTCCAATTTTTCCATATCTCTTCTAACATTTGTCATTTTCCCCTTTTATCATTTTAGCCAATCTGGTGGCATCTCAGAGTTGTTTTAATTTGCATTTCTCTAGTCAATAATTATTTGGATCATTTTTTTCATATGACTATATATAGCTTTGATTTCTTCTTCCCAAAACTGCCTGTTCATATCCTATGACCATTTATCAATTGGGAAATGACCCATATTCTTATAAATTTGACAGTTCTCTTTATATTTGAGATATGAGGCCTTTATCTGAGAAACTTTCTATAAAATTTTTTTTCTCCAATTTTCTTCTTTCCTTCTAGTCTTGGCTACAATGGTTTTATCTGTATAACACCTTTTTAATTTAATGTAATCAAAATTATCCATTTCATATCCCAAAATATTCTCTATCTCTTGTTTATTCACAAATAAACAAGATTTATTCCTATCCATAAGTCCGGTTGGTAATACGTTCTATGTTCTTTTAATTTTCTTATGAAAATTCTTATGTTTAGGTCATGTATCCATTTTGACCTTATCTTGGTAAATAGTGTAAAGTAGCAGTCTATGCCTAATTTCTACCAGACTGCTTTTCAGTTTTCTCAACTATTTTTACCAAATAGTGAATTCCTATCTAAATTTTTATATTTTTCAAACACAAGATTACTATAATCATTTATTACTGTGTATTGTGTATCTACTCTATTCCACTGGCCTGCTATTCTGTTTCTTAGTACCACATAGTTTTGATAATTACTGACTTCTAATACAGTTTAAAATGTGGTACTGCTAGGCCTCCTTCCTTTACATTTTTTTCTTTCATTGGTTCTTAAGATACTCTTCGAAATGAATTTTGTTGTGTTTTTTTTTCTAGCTCAATAAAATGCTTTTCTGTTAATTTGATTGGGATGGCTGAATACTACCTAGGTAGATTAGTTTAAGGTAGAATTGTTGGTTTTAGTATATTGTCCTCTGCCCACCCATGAACAATTAATATATCTCCAATTATTTAAATCTGACTTTATTTGTATAAAAAGTGTTTTATAATTATGTTCATATAGTTCTGGGTTTGTCTTGGCTAGTGTACTCCCAGGTATTTTATACTGTCTGTGGTTATTTTAAATAAAATCTATCTTAACCATCTCTTGTAGTGCTTTCTTGGTGGTATATAGAAATACTAATGATTTATGTGGGTTTATTTTATATCCTTTTACTTAGTTTAAATTATTAATTTTTTCAGCTAACCTTTTATTTAAATCTCTATAGTTTTCCAAATGTACCATCATATTGTCTGCAAAAAGAGATAGTTTTATTACCTCACCGCCCATTCTTATTCCTTCAGTTTTTTTTCTTCTCTTATCACTATTGCTAACATTTCTAATACAGTATTGAATAATATTGGTGATTTTAGGCATCCTTGTTTCACTCCTAATCTTATTGGGAACGCTTCTTGCTTATCCCCATTATAAATAATGCTTGCAGAATGATTTTATGTATATGCTTCTTATCATTTTAAGGAAAAATCCACATATACCTTTGCTTTCAGGTGTTTAATTTTAAAGAAGTCTAATACAGGATTCTTAGATACTAATCAGTATTTTCTAAAAATGATTTTTCTATTTAGGTAGTTATTCATTTTCCTTTCCTCCCTTTTAGAACTTTATAGATTGATTGGATAGTAATTCTTTTTGTAAGATAATGTTGTATATGTAGAAAGTATTTTCATAAAAATGTTTTACTTGATATTTCTATAGGGGAGTTGATCAGAGTTGCCTGATGAACTTGATGAATTTACATTTGGGGGAGTGGTTTGAAC